ATCCTGGGATCGAGTTCCGCATCGGGCTCCCTGCTCCTTGGGAGCCTGCTTCTCCCTCTCTCTCTCTCTCTCTGTCTTTCATGAATAAATAAATAAAATCTTTAAAAAAAATAAAGTAGAAAATTTGGAGCTACAGAAGATGTAGAAAGAAATGTTATCTGAACTTCTCTTAACTGACTAAAGCAGAACTTTCCGAAAATATAGTTGCCATTAAAATCTCCCTCTGAGTGATTTTCTAACCCATTCAGCTGCCATAGAGCCAGACTGCCTAATAGAACTTTCCATACCTTCCCAGGGAAACCCTAAGCCCCTCATCCCTTCCACTCCTACTCCTTCATTACCTTTGTTATATAAACCTTGATCTCCAGTTATTCTGTGAGTTACTGAATACTGAGCAACTTCCTGGGTACCCTGTCAATAAACTTGGTCTTTTCTCCTGTTTATCTGTTCTCGATTAATTTGCAGGCCCTCAATCACTGGACCCAATTTGGAGGAGAAAAAGATTTTTCCTCCCAACAAACCCAGAACAACTTAGCTATGGCCTGTGGAGCTAGGCTATAACTCAGTGGTCTAGCAGATTTACGACCTTGTATTTCAAGGACATTTGACCAAGTCGACTCTTTTATCAGACTCTTGGCAGGCTGGTGCTTTGGGCTTTCCTTGATAACCCTTTTTCTGAATCAGACTCATCCCTACAATATGCACTGGTTTCATTGTGGGGGGAGGGGTTCTAAATACTCTGATGAAAGAGCCAGACCCAAAGGGCACTGATGACAACTCCATCCTTCCAGTTGTTCAAGCTGAAAAGTTTGTTCTTTTTTTCTTTTCTTTTCTTTTCTTTTTTTAAGTAGGCTCTACACCCAGCATGGGGCTTGAACTCAAAGCCCTGAGATCAAGACCTGAGTTGAGATTAAGAATCAGACACTTAACCGACTGAGCCACCCAGGCACCCTGAGAAGTTTATACCTATTCTTGACTTCTGTTTCTTTGACATCCCTCATCAGTCTGGCAGGAAATCATGTGAACTCTATTTTCAAAATATATCCAGAATCTGACCAACTCCCACCATGTCCTCTGCTACCCCCACAGTCAGAGCCACCCTCATCTCTTGCCTGGACTAGGGAAAAAGCCTCCCATTCTTAGCACAGCTGCCACAGTGATCCTTCTAAAGTTAGATCCCATCACTACTCTGCTAAAAAAAAACTCCCCAGGTTGGTTCCCACCTCACTCAGAGTACCAGCCCCAAGGCTGGCAAGGCCCTTTATCACCTACCCTCATCAATCTACCCCCTACCCCCCAACTCTGCCCCCTAGCATGGCTCCAGTCATACAAGCCCTTTGGTGCTCCTTGAACTTGATCCTGCCTTAAGCCCCTGGACCTTTCTCTAGCAGTTCTCACTGCTTGGAATGCTCTTTCCCAGGTATCCACCCAACTAACTTTCTCACCAATTTCAGCTCATTGCTCAGATCTCACCATGTTATTTAACACAGCAAACTGCACCTCCCCCTGCCATCCCCCAATACCAGGTTCTTCTTGTCTTTTTTCCTTCTCTTTCCCATAGTATTCATCCGTACATAATTCACTTATTTATTGTGTCTATTGCTTGCCATCTCTCTTCACTAGGAAGTTAGTTCCATGAGGTCAGGGACCTATTGTACTCAGTGACGTATTCCAAATGCCTACAACAGTGGCAGGCATATAGTAGGTGCTCCATATACATTTGTTAAGTTAACAAAACCAGCCTCCAATGCTCATTCAGGGTGAGAGCTGAGGTTTGGCTGGGAAGGGGAAAAAAAAGGTCCAGAAACTTTCCGGATTCGATTATTATGGCTCCAGGGCCAACAGTCATGTGCTCAGGCTTGGAAATTCCCCCTGCCCACCCCCCCCCACCCTGATATAGAGGAAGATGGACCAGACAAAATCCAGCAAACCCAGGGAAGTATTCAGCCAGGCTTCGCGGCCAGCAAGTTCCTGGTTAGATCCCATCATAGGCAACTGGGCTGGAGCTGAGCTGTTGATCACTTAAATGATGACAAGAGAAAGGAAATGGTGAGGAGAAGTCTGTGGTGGGCAAGAGAATGGCGCCTGGAATACTTCAGTCTGTGGATTAAGCCAAGGGCTGCTGGAATGAGGAAGTCCCTCTCCCAGCCCGGGTGGGGCAGAGAGGCAGCCCAGGAGGGGAGGGAAGTGGTGGAAAGGAGTTGCAGGCTTGCTTTCTTTTTCTTTCCTTCTTTCTTTCTTTCTTTCTTTCTCTCTTTCTTTCTTCCTTCCTTCCTTCCTTCCTTCCTTCCTTCCTTCCTTCCTTCCTTCCTTCCTTCCTTCCTTCCTTCCTTTCTTTCTTTTTCTTTCTTTCTTCCTCTTTCTTTCTTTCCTTCTTTCTTCATTCCGTGACTTCTTTATTTTATAACTGGAAGTGTGTACCCCTTACTCCCTTCTTTACCCACACCCCCATCTGCCTCTCTTCTGGCCACCACCAGTTTGTTCTCTGTATTTATTTAAGAGTTCTGGGTTTTTTTGCTAGATTTCTTCCGTCTTCTCTAGGGGGAAGCCCCATACTGGATCACACGCACTCATGTTACTAGACAGGCCAAACCGACTTCAGGCCATTGCTGTGGCCCCCAGGACCTCCTCTCCTCACTGGAAACCCCCCCCCAAGGGGAAATCCATCCTCCCATTTGATAAAGTAAAGGATTTAGGTTGAATGGGAAGGTGGAATGGCTCAGCCTGTCAGGGGTACTCTACAGATCAATGGTGTAGTTGGAACCGGGGTTCAAGATCTCGGACTCCGCATGCTGGGCAGTGTCCCAGGTGTACCCCCTCAGCCTCTTCTCACAGAGTCTTCCCCCATGTTCTGGAATGACTCCCTCCTTCTAGGCAGCAAGGTTCTTTATCCCAGCGCAGGGTGAAGTTCTAGAAGACAGTGTCTCACACCCAAATGCAGAACCTCAGACTGCGTGGCCAAGAGGACCTTGTTGATGGAAGCCCAGAGAAGGCAAGTATCTTGTCCAAAATCACACAGTTCCTGGGCCACAGTTAAGGAAGGAGCTGGAAACAGAACTTAAGTTTTCTGATTGCACTTCGAAGTTCCTTCCAGCAGTGGGATTTTGTGATTTCTTGATTCTAATCCACTCTACTCTAGAGTGGCTTTCATCACAAAACTCTGGCCCTGAATCCCCAAGGTACCTTTGTCCACCACTGGCCGTGGCCATAACAGCTCATTCCTTGGCCCCTGGAAGGGGTAAAATTCATTTCTAGGGCATTTGAAAATATATTCTCTAGCCTCAGTCCCCTTCTTGTGGTCAAATCCCATAAGCTTCCTTCAGTCATCGCCCTCACACTTCCCTCCTCCCAGGCCCTGTGACTCTGTCCTGCACACCTACACTTTCCCTTCTCCCAGCTAGTGCCTTCCCCATTCCGCATTCCACTCTGGCTCTGGACGTGGTCCTGACTCTGACAGGGATGCAGAATCACAGGAATCATTGGAAAGACATTAGAGATCAGAGTCCTGCTCCACCCTGTCTCCTGCAGACCTTGGGGGGCTGTCCCTTCTCTCTATCACTTGAGGATCAGGGTAAATGCCAGGGTTCTCACTTATTTATGTTAAGATTTTATTTATTTATTTTGGGTGGGGGAGGGAGAGACAGAAGGAGAGCCAGTCCTAAGCTGTCTCCACGCCGAGTGCAGAGCCTAACGTGGGGCTCCATCTCACGACCCGAGGGCTCTCATTTATTGAGCACCTCGGATGTATATGTATTCCATGAGCAACAAGTATGTAGCAGGCACTGTGTAAGAGCTTTACTCTCTCGTGTAATCCTCACAAAACAGCCCAGCAAGGTAAGGATGATGCCCATTTTATAGATCAGGAAGTTGAGCTTCAGAAATGTTCTTTAATTTGCCCTAAATTCTGTTTCCAGCTCCTTCCTTAACTGTTGCCCTAGATCACAGAGCCAAAAAAGGCTAGGATTAGAAATGAAACCCAGGTCTACTGAACTAAAAGCCTAAGACCCATGCACAGGGGTCGGGGGAGGAGGAGGAAGGGTTGTAGAAAGGGGGGAAATGTGAAACACCATTTTCCCTGGCCTCCCTGGCTGCGGGGAGTGAATATCACTGTGGAAATGATTCCACATCTTACCATCAAACTCCTCCAAATCTCCAGAGAGGAGAGGCCACTGGGCAGGAGGGTTAACTTGCTGACAGCCCTTGACATGCACCCTGCCAGCTCTCAACCTATGCATTTGTGATTACCTGGCTGCATTCTGGAAACTATCCAGTCACACCAAGGCGGGTGGCCCGCCCCTCCTCCCTGGATTGAGGAAGCAGGAAAAGGTGGCAGTTAGAGGCAGTGGGCAGACGTGCTGGGCAATGGTGGCCGGAGTTTCCCCGAGGATGGGCTTTCTCTGGGGCTTGGCTCTGCCCCTTTTCTTCTGCTGGGAAGCTGGGGCCCCCAGGAGCTCCGCAGGTAAGGAGGTGGGGGCTTCTATCCTGACAGAGCTCTGGGTGTGAGTTTCTGTACCGGCAGCCCTCTTGGGTTAATTGCAATTAACCATAAAGCTACATCTGAAGTATTTTCCTGTTGTTGATAAAGAGTATGCAAATGGCAGTGTGTCAGCTGCCCCACATCTGACACCTCGGTCTGTAGAATGAGTGACGTCCTGGTGCGGTGACTGTGGGTTTGTCTTTCTGCATGAGACTGAAGGGGGGGCAAGGGAGGCCGAGGAAAGCAATGGGCCAGGGGGGTAGCCGCTGGGGATAAATCTGACTAAAGCCAAAGAAAATGGCTTGACCAGGTTCTAAATCCTCCAAGTTTATTTCCTAGCCCAGATTTCCTTTAAAAACCAGTTTTTGTGTGTGAAAAGTCTGTCACAGACTGCTTGGGGAGGGTGGATTCTGAGGGAGGCAGGGCTCTTATAAAAGAAGAGAACTAACATAGATGTGTAATAGGAACTGTGCCAAGCTTGTCGCATGCATTGTCTTTTTTTTTAATAGACTTTTTTTTTTGTAGAGTTCACAGCAAAATTGAGCAGAAAGGACAGAGATTCCCATATAACCTCTATACCCCCCCAGATATAGTCTCCCTTTCTATCAGCATCCTGAATTATCTTTTTTTTTTAAAAAAGGTTATTTTTTTGAGCAGTTTTAGTTTCATGGCAAAATTGAGAGGAAGGTACAGAGATGTCCCAAGCTCTGTCTTTTTAATCCTCACAATGACCCCATAAGAGAGACACGAGTCTTATTCCTACCCACCCCTGCCCCCAGAGGTGATGGGACTGAGGCTTACCAGGATTCAACAAATCACCTGCAAAGCCAGGATTTTATTCCTCATGCGGGTAAACTCTAGACTACTTTGTCTTCTGTACACACTCATGATCTGCCAGGCTTGTGCTGCACGTTTTACATTTAATTTAATTTAATCTTCATAAACCCTACAAAATAGGTACCCTTAGCTCCATTTGAGAGATGAGAAAATGCAGGCTTGGAGCCCAGATACTTGGCCAGAGTCATATGGCTGGTAAGCAGCAGAGCAGGGACTCAAACTCAGGGTCCAAAGTACACACACCTTCCTCTCTGCCAGTCTGATCTGAGGAAGGGACCGGGAGAGCTGCAGCATTCTAGTGCCATACAGGGCTGGGTAGGCTTTGCTGTGCTTGAGAAGAACTCTGGTGGGCAGGAGACTTGGGTAAGGGGTGTGAGAGTCCCAGGGGGGTGTGAAGAGGCTATGGTTTGGGAAGCATGACGAGGTTTCACAGCAGGATGATATCACGGGGTTCCTGGAAAAGGTAGAAAATACTTCTGGGGAGGTCGGTGGTCAGACCACAAGAACACCTGTTTGGGCTTTAGGCTACGTAGGTTGATGCAGAACGGCTTTGACTCCACCATGTGGGGACTGAGGAACCTCGGAGAAATATCCTGGGCCTTGAAGTGGGGAGAAGAAAGTATATTCCCGTAAAAGCATGATTTGTGAACAACTAAGGAGAGTGGATGCTATGACTCACCTGATCTGCATGCGGGGACAGCCTGCCATTCTCACTGCATTAAAGAAGGTTGTGTGCTCTCAAGTGCCTCTTGGAGGGGACAAGGCTGTGGAGGGATGCTTAGTGACCCTTGCTGGCTTTGGGATATAAGACTTTCCCATTCCCCTTCTCCTCTGGTCCTCACCACCACAGCAAGGCAGGTAGGATAACCCGCGTTCACAAGAGAGGCTCGGAGAGGTCTGGTGACTGGCTTAGCTGGTAGGAGGCAGAGTCAGCATTTGAACCAGTCAATCACAGGACTCCAGAGCTAGTTGGCAACAGGCCTAGGGCTGGAGCCCAGCCTTTTGCCTCCTGGCCCAGTGCTCTTTTATCTTTGAGGGAGAGACACAAGAGGACAAACTGAGGATCTGGGGCCCCATCCTGACAGCCAGAGTAGAAGTGACCAATGACCAAATGGTCCTGTACTTCCCTGGGGTCCTTGGGTACTTTTGGGCCAGTAGACCTCAGTAAAGACCATCTGAAGTCTTCAGGACCCCAAAAAGGGGGGCTTATATTTTGATTCTTTTCCTTCCAAGGGTAGGGTTACTGGATAAAACACAGGACATTCACTTACATTTGAATTTCAAGTAACAAAGCTTTTTCTGTACGTATGTCTCAAATATTACATGAGAAGTACACATACTAAAAACATAATTTGTCGTTAAAATTATTCTTTATCTGAAATTCAAATTCAAATTTAACTGGGCATCCTGTATTTTTATTTGCTAAATCTGGCAACCCTCCCCAAAAGGGTCCTTGGCCCACTTACAGAGAGAGCACTTCCTCCTCCGTAGACGGGAGAAGCACGCTTGTCCGCCCATGAAAAGATCCTGCTGTAGTCCCCCAGGCAATGAATGCCACCCAACCCACCACTCATACAACCTCCGAGGATCCGTTGAGTGGACAGAGATGCTCTGCCCTGTGGAGAAATGCTAACAGCATCTCTTTAAGGAGTGACATGTGCCTCCCTTGGCCCACTGCTACCTATGGAACATGGCTGGTGCATCATTTCTGTAGCTCCGGGGTCCCATCCCTGCCATGTCAGATGAGCAGGAATGGGAAGCTTGCCCCTTTCCCAAGAACTCGGCCTGCTCCCTTCGCTTTTGCAGCAGCCATCACCTACTCTGTCTGTGGAGGTTCCTCTCCCCCATCCTCCCAGCTACCTCTAAATACAAAACCACAGATGTTTCTTGTATTTGAAGGGTTTTTACTTCCATGGGGAAACATCTGCTGGATGAGAAAAGTATCGGTGCGAAACTGACAAGGATTCTTTCAGAAAGTTCCGAGAGTTGGGTCCCTGCTCTGTAGTTCTTGGCTCACTTGGACTTCTGCCTTCTTTGCTTCCCCTTGAAGCTGGATCCTGGCTGCATGCATTCCCTCTGATGGCTTCAGACCAATAATCAACTAGATTCTGAGGCTTGCTTGCCTCAACTGGGTCATCAGAGAACATTCTTCAGGTGATCCCAGTTCCATGGCTGACACAAGGGATTGGTCTTCCTGATGATAGTGCTTCCTTCTTCCTTGTATGTATAGATGAAAAATGGCATAAAAGCAACTTCTCCCCCCCCCCAGGGTGTCCAGGGCATAAACACAAGAGCGTGTATGAAGTTAGTCCACTGAGACTCATGGCTCACAATGTTGGTCTTACCCAATACAGACCCTAGCACCAGCAGACCACGTCCTTTGGTGACAACCGACCATATAGAAGAGCCTGCCATGACTCCGGGGTTCAGGACAAGTTCAGAGGGAGCATTCCAGTCCACTGACCTTGTTGAGACCTCTGTGCCAAGCCACATCCCTTTGGAAACTCAAACCCTGAGCACCCAGACCTTTGATAGGAACTTAATCCTGGCCAGCACCATTTCAGAAGCAGAGACTAGGGAAACCAAAACCATTTTTCCTGCAACAGAGACCAGGGCCTTCACAAAAATGACACTGTCCAAGTTCATGGTTGTGATCACCACTCCTATGGAGGCATCAGCCACAAGTGGCAGCCCCATGGGAACTGGAATGACCACAGTTGAGACTGTTATAGGCAGTGATCTTGTGGAATCTGTCTCTGACACCCTTTGTACTGATGACAGCTCAGAAGAGGCAAAGAGAATCCTAATTGACATCTTGACATTGACTCACACCTCTGCAGAAGCCCAAGGCTTGGCCTCAGACAGCAGTGCCTCCTCAGACCACTCAGTTCTGGCCATCACCACCTCACAGGCCCTGGCACCTGACAAGACTGCTTCAGCTAAAGACTTGCTGTCCTACAGCATCATTGACATGGAGATTACCAATTGTAGCATTATCAAAACAATAATAACTGCCACCACCCTTAGGACCTCGGATGTAGATCTCGACCCCACAGGAGGAAACACCTTGTCTCCCCCTGAGGTGTCAGCTGTGTTTGATTCCACCGAGGCAGAATCACACTTCACCGAGACCATGACCTCTGCAGAGACCTCAGCAGCAGCCAGTGCCACAGAACCAGCCACACCTGATACCACAGTTGAGACCCTGCTAACTGCTAATAGCAGCATAGAAGGAGAAACAATAGTAGCCGAGCCCACAACCCCCAGCACAACTTTGGTGACAGTCAGCATCAACCCCATGGAAGAAACTTCAGTCCTCTCTGTTGAGACAACAAGCCACACTGAGGTCTTAGGAGCAGTTACAATCTCCACAGAGACTGGGTCAACAGTGGGTAAAGTGGCTTCCCCTGCTGGGCTCTCGGCCTCGGCCTCCAGCCACACCCACATAGCCACTAGCAAGAACGCCACCCCCTCCCAGCCTTCTACCACAGACAGCACAACCCATGGGTCTGTCCCCATCAGCAGGAGCCCTTTTTCTTCTGTCCATCTGACTATGGCCAACAGCAGCCGAGAGGCAAACATCACTTTCGTCAAGACCACAACCTTAGTAAAAACTTCGAAGGCAGCCAGCAAGCCTGGAGGGAAGGCCCCCACAGCTCTGCCCACCACTGCTCAGCCAAGGTGGACCCCAGAAACTACTGAAGGTAAGGGGCTCCCACAGCTGTGATCTTGGGGATGCGGGGTTTGGAGTTTCCAGGATGTCTACGTGCTTAATAAGGGGTAGCGAGGAAGGAAAGATCTGGGGCCTATTCCGAGCCCAGTCTCTGATGTCACCTCCTCATGATCTTCTAGAGATTCTTGCGAAAGTCAGAAACAAAGCAGATTTAGGGTGGTGTATGGAAAACCTGTGGGGCTAGAAGTCTGGAGAAATGGTTTGAGATCCTGGTTTTGCCCTTAACAACCTAGTGACCCAGGACAGGTCCTTTTCCTCTCTGCTCTCTGGCCTCAGTTTCTCCACCAGTAACTGGAGGGGATTGTGATGGATGAACAATGAGGTCCTTTCCAGCTCCACCCTTCCATGACATTAACAGTTGAGTAACCACTATGTGCCAGGCGAGGCCCCAAATTTTATTCAAAAACCACAGTCCTCATGCTCTGGAAGCTTCTGGTTCAGCTAGAGCCACACAGAGGGGCACCATGTGAACATCTGGCCCAAGCTGCTGCCCTCTGAGCAGCTGGGACCTCATGAAAGTGGGGCTTACTGGATGTGCTTGCTGGGGTTGGAACCAGAGATAGTGACAATGAATGAATGAATGAATGAATGAACTAAATAAATAAAAAAATAAGGTGAAGGTTTGGGGGTTTAAAGCTACAATGTCCAAGACAACAGATACTTCTCAGGGAAGAAGCCGCTCGTGAGAGGCTGCTTGGTCAGCCCAGCTCCTTGTCAGCCTGGAGCCTCCACCTCCCTCCTGACACTGTCCTTGTGCCTCATCCCTTTGGTAGCCTCAGCTGGTCCCGCCTTTGTGGGCAGGTGAAATAAAAATATTAATCACAACCACCTTAGCGAACACCATTTGTATTCCAGCAGAGGAGGACATGAAAACATTTCATGGCCGGTCAGCCGTGCCACCGGCTGAATGTTCCCACCGACATCAGGCAGGGAACTACGAGCTTTGCATGCGTTATCTCTTCTAATTAAACCTTCAGAACCACCTCAGGGGGTGGATGTTATTGCCCCACCCGACAGGTGAGGAAATAGATTTAAAGACCGTGAAAAGATAGCACTGGGACTCCAAACGGAAGTCTGATTCCATCTCATAGTCTCCTACTGGGCTTTCATTTTTTAAAGCTCGATTTATTAATATATTTTTATTTTAAAATGCTCTTCTTTATTTTTTGTTGATTAGATGATACATTGACATGATTTAAAATTCAACAGGTACAAAAGGGGTCAGCATAAAATGTCTCTCTCCCACAGCTGTTCCCCAGCTACCCAGCTACCTTCATACACATTAACCGAAAGAATCACTTTCTCGTGACTATTCCAGCCATGAAATATGCATACGGCAGCAAACACAAGGAGGATGAAAGCGATATATATTGATATCGATACAATATCAATATTGGTATCTATCTCTATCTCTAGAAATAGAGAAGTGCAATCACTTGATCAATTCTAACTGCTAGGAAGAAATGACTGCAAGGTGGCAGGTGAAGGCAAGGAGGTTAGGGCTCTACAGAAGCCAGAACTAGCATCCAGAGCTGCTAGATCCGGAAGGCTGGATTGAAACCTCTGCCAACTCAGAGCTGGACGAATTGGCTGAGGTATCCCCTCTGAGAGCTGACCTCTCTCTGGCACTCGCCCTGTCTGGATCCTTTGCTAACAGTCCATCTGGGACCTCCAGGCATCAAGAACATTCTAGATTTCACTTTCATTTCTCCTTCTTCACACTATTCTTTTGACTTCTCCAAATGTGGATGGGGCCTTTAGCCAACTTTTCTTTCACTCTTGTTGGGAAGACACTACAAGGAGTCTAGTTATTGGAAAGTGGGAATCCTCTTTCTCTTTGCAGTGAATAAATGAAAGATCCCATGTGAGCATGGACCCATTTACACATGAGAGTGAGCACAGAGGTGCAGAGGTGGGGACAGAGGCTGGGTAGCACAGGTCATGTCACGATTCCTGAACTGACCTACCCATATGTTCATCTCCTGCTTTTCTAAACTTGCAGGGGGGGATGGAGGCTTTCTCCTCCTGCAGCTGAGTGTGGCCTCCCCAGAAGACCTCACTGACCCCAGAGTGGCAGAGAGGCTGATGCAGCAGGTGAGTGGGCACTTTCTAGGCCAGGAAAGTAGAGGAGAGTTTTAGGAACTAAATCTAAGAATCTCTGCTTGGCTTGGCTTCTGCCTGTTTTTCCTGAGTTGGGAATTCCCCTTTGGAGCTATGTAAAAAAATTCTTTCCCTCACCCCCAATTTCCTCAGGCCTTTGGAAGGTCAGGCCTTCTAGCCCTTGGAAGAAGGTCAATGATATTAATGGGCAGATAGGCAGGACTTTGGGTTACAAGTAGTAGAAACCCTACTCATTGTAGCTTATGCAGAAAAGGCAAGGTATTGGCTGAGAAACCAAGAAGTGACTGTTCCAACTTCACTTATGGCTGGATCCAGCAGCTTAGACATGATCACCAAGATTTCCTTTCTCTCCTTCTCTTACCTCTTCGTTCTTTGGAATCTCCTTCCACATGTAAGGAAAGGTGGCTGTGACAGCCCCAGAGTCACAGGCACTTCCCTCTCCCAAGACCTGCCTATTATACTGGGGAAAGACTGATCTTATTGGCCTGCAATTGCCACCATGCCTGACAGCTCAAACTGAACCACATGGAATGAGAAGGACAAGTCCCAGAGGAACTAGGAATGCTAGCAGAAAACACCCCTCAGATGTATGTTCTAGATGGGAACCAAGATTGGGATATATTTGTATGCGTTGGGAAAATTCCCCTAAGACCCAGAACACTGGACAAAGCTTCCAGTGGTGGAATTCTGGGGTCAGAGCTTTTGGGATGGTGTGAATCATTGGAAGGTTAGACTAGGTCAGCTCAGCTTAGCTCTTGTGCCCACATCTTGCTACCAGGGGATGAGAAGAGGGAATGTCTGGGCCCTTGAAGTTCTCTTAGTGGAATGGGGCCCATCAGGGCTCCCATAATAAGGAGTTCCCTTTGGGGGGGGAGTTTGAAAACGGACAGCTAGAGAAATGACAAATGCCTACTGCACATGATAATCAAAGTAGCAAGTGTGAATCTTAGTCCAAGAGGGAAGCCAGAGGGGCGCCAAAGTGGCTCAGTCAGTTAAGTGTCCGACTCTTGGTTTCAGCTCAGGTCACAATCTCAGTGTTGTGAGGTCGAGCTGTCCATTGGGGGTCTGTGCTCAGCACAGAGTCTGCTTAAGATTCTCTCTCTTTCCCTTCTCCCTCTGCCCCTCTCTCTTTCTGTCTCTATAAAATAAATAAATCTTATAAAAAAAAAAAGAGGGAAGCCAGAATGGTGCCAAATCTGAGCCCCCAAACTGGAAACTATTTCCGGGGTCAGAAAGAGGCCGGGGAGAAACGAGCAGGTCAGGAGCTGAGGGGCAGGAAGCAGGCCGTGCGGGTGTTGGGCATGAGCTCTTGTTGGGAGCGGGACACAGACAAAGCATTCAGGGCTCAGACAAACAACAAACTTCGGAGCCATATAGATCTGGGGGTGAATTCCACTTCATAAATGTGTGACCTTGGGTAAGCTGTTCCATATTATTTTCCTCCCTTATAAAATGAAGTTGCTACTACCTGCTTTATAAGGTTATTGTGAGGGTAAATGATACAATGTGTGTGAAGCACCTAGCCCATGCCCAGCCTGTGGGGGGCTCAGGAAGGGTTGCTGACCTCCTTGTATGTTCTCTCCCATTGTCCCTTCCTGTCCTTGGCCTGTGGTGAACTCATGGGCCAAATTTGGGCTGGAAGGACCTCCTGCTCCTTGCGCCCTCCAGCTCTACCAAGAACTGCATACCTACGTGCCTCACATCCACGTCTCTCTGCTGCGCGTCAGGAGGGGCTAAGAAACATCCCCTGCAGCCAGGCTTGGCTGTGTGCCCAAGGGGGCAGTGCTGCCTGCAGCCTGGGAACCTCCCCTACCCCAGACTGGAGCTACGGTACTGCACTGAGATATACCTGGAAGCTTCCCAAGAGGTCAGCCGGCCTAAGCCCTTACTCCAGACATGGCAGCGGGACCCTGGCTCACGTATGCCTCAGTGTGTGTGTGTGTGTGTGTGTGTGTGTGTGTGTGTGTGTGTGATGGTGGGTGGGGGTGGAGGAGGAACTTCCCTTGTTCCAAAGATGTCCTTGGACTTCCTTTAGCACAGCGTTATGTTTCAGTAAAGAGCGATCTGATCACCTGTCTGTCCACCTTCTTTGTGCTTCCATCAGACATTAAAATTACACACAGTGTGGTCCAGAGGTTATCTATTTGATCCATATGGGGTGTTTTTTTGACATTTTTATGATACAGGGATTTTGTGCATCCTCCTTACTCTCTCTCTCCTTCATTCTTCCCTGGTTCTTGGTTTGGACCTCAATTACAGCACTTACTGAGGCTGGCCCTGGAGCCTGTTGAACTCTGAGCTCCTTCAGAGCAAAACCCGTATGTATCTCAGTATCCCCTGAACCTGGCCTGTAGTAGGAGCACAGAGAATGTTTGTTGGATTGACTTGAATTTCAAGTTCTGGACACAAGCAGATCACAAGAAGGTCTGCAATACAAAATTATTCCTCCCCTCTAGCTCATAAGTCAAGTTATTATTATTATTTTTGAAAAATTAAATGTGGCTATGGGGCACCTGGGTGGCTCAGTTGGTTAACTGTCCGACTCCTGATTTCGGCTCGGGTCATGATCTCAGGGTTGTGAGATTGAGCCCCGCTTCAGGCTCTGTGCTGGGCGTGAAGCCTGCTTGAGATTCTCTCTCTCTCTCTCTCTCCCCCTCTGCCCCTACCCTGCCCCTAAAAAAAATTAAATGTAGTTAATCTCTTTTCCATTGTTATGATTTTACAATTCTGAAAAATTCAAAAGGACCAAGAGAAAAAGACAAATAGAAAGAGGAGTGGAAGAGAAAGAAAAACATTTCTAAAATCCCACTCCTTATGTACAACTATTGTTAGTGTATACATTCAACCTCCCTGCTTGGTCCAAGATACCTTGCATTCAATATTTCCAAAGTCAGAGTCTCAATCTTTCCCCCAAACCGGCTCGGCCTGCGTCTTCTTCATCATGTCAGTTGCATCCTTCAGTTGCTCAAGCCAAAATTCTCAAAACCAGTCTTTATTCCCCTATTTCCTTCACACTCACTTTACATCCAGCTTGTCGGAGAATGCTGTTGGCTCTACTGTTGTCAAAATAAGCCCAGAATCTGACCCTTCCTCACCCTCTCCACTGCTCTCACCTGGTGCAATCTGCCATGGCCTCTCACCTGGGTTACTCATACCCTCTTAACAGGTCTCTGTTTCTACCTTTGCCCCCCAACCCCAGTGTAGTCCCAGCACACCAGCCAGGGCTGTCTCTTAGTGGCTGCCTGTAATGTAAGGCAGACCATGCCACTCCTTGGCTCCAGACCCTCCCATTTCATTCAGACAGAAAGCAAAGGTCCTACAATGGCCTGCAAAGCTGTGTGCGACCTGTGCCCCTCCCCCAGCCTCTTTAACTTGCTCCCTGCACTCCAGCAATGCTGACCTTCTTGCTGTTCCAGGAATCCATCAGGCCTTGCATGCATGCTCCTGCCTGGGGACCTCTGCATGTGTTGCTCAGTTTGCTCAGAGGGCTTCTCCTACAGGTATCCACTCGGTAACACCTCCACCTCTCTCACCGTCTCGGTGAGTCCACCTGGCCATCCCCATGCTTTGATTTGCTTCCTAATGCTGCTTACAACCTAACATAATACATACTTTATTTATTTGTCCTATTATCTGTCTCCCTCAACTAGAATATAAGAGTTCGTTCACTCCAGTATCCCTAGCATCTAGCACAATGCGTGACTCCATAAAAGGTGCTCAGTAAATATTTGTTAAATGAATGGAGGACACAACACAACTTCGGATATTGCTGTGAATAAGGGGAGTATATGTATTCAACTGATCTCCTTCCTCTTGCAGAGGGAGGCAGAATGAGTTTTATAAAGGAATTTGGACAAAATAAGTCAAACATTCTTCTCAGCGTATTTGCTGAGCACCCACAACAGAAGAGAGACATGTTGTGTGCTGTGGGGCATTCAAAGATGTCTCTTCCCCCCAGGGGCTAAACTTAGTAGGTGAGGGTAAACAGGTACAGAAAGAACAAACTGAAAGAACTTACGTACACTATATATGGCAAAACCAGAGTCTCCTTAATACGCAAAGCAATAAAGAGCTCTTACAAAGCAATAAAAAGGCAAACATGCCCATAGGAAAGTAGTATAAATGTCTTCCAGAAGCAGGAATATAACTGCCTATTTTCCATGAAAAAGAAACGTCACTAGCAAAAAAAAAAGTAAATTGATACAGTGAGATATTGCTAATTGTGTGTCAATAGGTAAGGATTTATAAAAATTATAATTTCCATGATGAGGGTGTAGGGGGAAAGAACACTCTTAAACACTATTGGTGTGAATGAAATTTGTACAGTCTTTCTGGAGGGCAATTTGACTATATAAAGCCTTAAAAATGTGCATCCTTTTACCTGAGCAATTTCATTCCAAAGGGCTTATCTTAAGGAAATAATTAAGAATCTGTGCAAAGACCAATAAATAAATGTGTTCATTACAGAAATGTTTATAACAGCCAATAAAGGAAAAAGGCAAGACAAAATACAGGTTATCCCAGTGTAGTCATTTGGTTAATAATAGTGGTGTGTGGTGTGTGTGTGTGTGTGTGTGTGTGTGTGTGTGTGTGTGTGTGTGTGTTTGCTCCCAAATACCTTTTACACTATCTTTAGAAGCTCCCTTTCCAAAATCAAAGCTAGTCCTGTTCCTAGCAAAGGAATAAAACTCCCAGCTTTGTATATAAGGGTCTTCATGATATGGCTTTTGGCCAAATTTCTCAGCTCTGTGTCCTATAGACCCATCTCCTATGTTCTATGTTCCTTCCACAGGAAACTCCTCACTACTTCCCAGTCACACTTGCTTTGATCCAGAGTTTGCACATCATGATTCTTGCCCCCAGAAGGTTCTCCCTCTCTCTGGTGCCTTCATCTGGAAAACTTCTATTCATGCTTAGAAGCCCAGTTCATTCAGTGCCTCCCTGTGGTGGCTCTCCTCAAATCCCCTAAAGAGGATCTGGTTTTTTAGTCTCTGTATGTTTCTGTTACACACTTCACATGCTACATCGTGCTTTATTTGCTTACAAGTTTGTTAAGTCATATATGCTTCAGGACAAGTGCCATGCAGAATTCATCACTGTAGCCACAGAAACTAGTGCAGAGCCCTGCATAGGGACGGCACTCAACTGTCTGCTGAACAACAGAGAGGAGGGTCCCCATGAGCAGCTGACCCGGAAATATGGGCACGGGGCTCTGAGAGTTGAGAAAATGCTACTCAGCGTCGAAGTCAAACAAAATAAAAATCTAATGATATCATTATTAAGAAGCTGCACTATAATTAGGCATGGATGAAGAACAGTTTCGTAAGTAGGTAATACCTGTTACATAAATCCAATTCTTAAATAGCTTTTCTTTTCTTGCTTTGCATTATTTGAATCAGGGATATCTGATAAAGTGGATAATTTATCCTATATATATGCATATAAAGACACACATGTACATGCAAGCTGATGGCCTTTCTTGGAAGCTTGTAAAATATAGTAGTATAGTCTATACCAATTAGAAGAATTTGGGAATTAAAGTGTGTAATTATGCTTACGTGTGTGTGTGTGTATGTGTGAAAGAGAGAGAGGAGAGAATTACTGGAGATGACCAGAATTAGCAGAAGTAATGTTACCAAACCAGCAAGAATCAGAAGGCCTGGGGAAAATTCTCCATTTATTTAAGACTCAAAGGTGTTTGGTAGAATTCCCCTGGGAAGCCATCTGGCCCTGGGCTGTTGTTTGTCAGGAGACCAAATATTTAAAGAATTAATACCTATTCTTCTGAAACTTTTCCAAAAAATAGAAATGGAAGGAAAACTTCCAAAGTCGTTTTATGAGGCCACCATTACCTTGACCCCAAAACAAGACAAAGACCCCATCAACAAGGTGAGTTACAGACCAATATCCTTTATGAACATGGATGCAAAAATTCTCATCAAAATACCAGCCAGTAGGATCCAACAGTACATTAAAAAGATTATTCACCACGACCAAGTGGGATTTATCCCTGGGCTGCAAGTTTGGTTCAACATCCACAAATCAATCAACGTGATACAATACATTAATAAAAGAAAGCACAAGAACCATATGATCCTCGCAATAGATGCAGAAAAAGCATTTGACAAAGTACAGCACCCTTTCTTGATCAAAATTCTTCAGAGTATAAGGATAGAGGGTACATACCTCAATATCATAAAAGCCATCTATGAAAAACCCACAGCGAATATCATTCTCAATGGGGAAAAACTGACAACTTTCCCCCAAAGGTCAGGAACACGGCAGGGATGTCCACTATCACCACTGCTATTCAACATAGTATTAGAAGTCTTAGCCACAGCAATCAGACAACAAAAAGAAATCAAAGGCATCCAAATCGGCAAAGAAGAAGTCAAACTCTCACTCTTTGCAGATGATATGATACTGTATGTGGAAAACCCAAAAGACTCCACCCCAAAACTGCTAGAACTCATACAGGAGTTCAGTAAAGTGGCAGGATATAAAATCAATGCACAGAAATCAGTGGCATTCCTATACATCACCAACAAGACAGAAGAAAGAGAAATTAAGGAGTCGATCCCATTTACAATTGCACCCAAAACCATAAGATACCTAGGAATAAATCTAACCAAAGAGGCAAAGAATCTGTACTCAGAAAACTATAAAATACTCATGAAAGAAATTGAGGAAGACACAAAGAAATGGAAAGACGTTCCATGCTCATGGATTGGAAGAACAAATATTGTGAAGATGTCAATGCTACCTAGAGCAATCTACACACTTAATGCAATCCCTATCAAAATACCATCCACTTT